TTTGAATTGAGCCCGGTAGCAAATCGGTAGCCAGTGGAGTTGGCGCAACAGGGGGGTTGTATGCTCCCTGCAGTCCGCCCCTGTTAAAATCATGGCTGCCGAGCGTTGGACTAGTTGGAGCTTCCGAGCCGTCTTCAAAGGCAACCCCACGTAGAGAGTGTTGCAGTAGTCTAAACGGGATGTAACCAGAGCGTGGACTATCGTGGCCAAGTCAGACTTCCCAAGGTACGGGCGCAGCTGGCGCACAAGCTTTAGCTGTGCAAATGCTCCCCTGGTCACCGCCGAAACCTGGGGTTCCAGGCTCAGCGATGAGTCCAGGATCACACCCAAGCTGCGAACCTGCGTCTTCAGGGGGAGTGCGACCCCATCCAACACAGGCTGTAACCCTATGCCCCGTTCGGCCCTGTTGGACCTTGTAATCCAGGGGTCCTCAAACGTTTTGGACAGAGGGCCAGGTCACAGTCCCTCAAACTGTTGGAGGGCCGGATTATATTTGAAAAACAAAAACATGAATGAATTCCTATGCATACTGCACATATCTTATTTGTAGTGCAAAAATCTCTTAAAAACAATACAAAAATTAAAATGAAGAGCAATTTTAACCAATACAAATTTATTAGTATTTCAATAGGAAGTGTGGGCCTGCTTTTAGCAGATGAGTTAGGATTGTTGTTGTGTGCTTTCGAGTCATTTCAGACTTAGGTTGACCCTGAGCAAGGGCCGGGTAAATGACCTTGGAGGGCCATATCCGTCCCTCGGGCCTTAATTTGAGGACTCCTGGTGCAATCTAATAGGCAATAGTCATAATTGTATGATACAAGTCCTTTGGGGACACAAATCATTCCTCAAAGTGTGTTATTGCTCTTTGGGCTACAGAAATGACATCTAGTATACTTGGAGATATAATAATGTTAAATCCAAGCGATTGATACATCTTCCAACTTTTAGCGGATCTGAGAATATTGGTTGAGAGGGGACTCTATGAAATAGATATGTATGCAGTCTTCTCTTCTTCTGCTCCAATACTCTGTTTATGAACTTCAGGAGCCAGAAACTGACCCCAACAGCTCCAAACTCCTGTTTCTATGGTGGAAAGAATTTTGAATACGTTTTACTTACCATTTGGAAACCGATTCAAAGGATTAGCTTTTCAGTTTAAACCTGAGGATTATAGGCTCCCCAAAAGTAAAACTCCCAAGTTCTGCTTTTGGTGATAAATTTAATGGGAAAGTATTTCTTTTGGATCATTTTGATAGCCATTTCCTCTTCCATTTCCCGCAATAATAGTTGTCCTTCTATTAATTCCCCAAGTCATATGCGGTGCCTCGTTGTTGTAACTGACGGCCTCTCTTTTCCACTTCAGATGCCCATTTCTTTATTAGATAAAGATTATTCCCCCCTTCAAGTCCTCGGGAATGTTATGACATTAGAAAATTACTTAATTTTTCTCCACATGTAGTTGATAATTTCTAGGTATTTGTGAAAACTGATTGCTGAGGAAAGCATAATTAATCAGAAGAGCCTCTGAGGATAAAATGTTGTGTCCATTAAATTAAGTTTCTTCCAGGTACCTTGCCCTGTGAGTGATATGTTGTAGCAATTTCCAGTCCCGGGAAGGGATCAACGGATTCTGCCCGAGGCACCTGCTTTGCCAAGGCTTTGCTCATCCTCAGCCGCTTTGAAGTAACAGAGATGCTGCAGAAGTCCAGCAGTTGTCCTAACTCTGCAAATACAGATGATGCTGCATTCTTCTGGACCTATTTTTTGCACCCTGCTGTTCTGTTTGGTCTGGATTGTTGTGAGAAACCTTCCTTATATCCATTTCTAGGTGGCTTTCTTCCAATGGCAGTGGTAGTAGGAAAATAATNCCTCGACAGGATCACCTACCGAGGCGGCGGGAAACTCCCCAAGAGCCATCAGGAATCCATCCGGATCCATAAACCTCCTGGGGCGGACTAACTTAATGGGTCCTCCACCTCTGCAGAGGTTAGGGGGCGCAGTGAGCCTAAATCTGACCAGGAAGTGGTCAGTCCATGGCAACGGAGAGATGGTCAGCTCCTCGACCCCACCACCTTCCTCCCATCCCTGGCAGAAAACCAAGTCCAATGTATGTCCTGCACTATGAGTGGGGCCAGATACTTGCTGGGACAGCCCCATGGTTGCCATGGCAGACATGAAGTCCTGAGCCGCTCCTGAAAGGGCCGCCTCGGCATGGACATTGAAGTCCCCCAGCACAAGGAGCCGCTGGGATTCCAATGCCACGCCTGAGACCACCCCCGCTAGCTCAGGTAAGGAGACGGTAGTGCAGCGAGGTGGGTGGTACACTAACAGAATCCCTATTCTGTCCCGGTCACCCAACCTCAAGTGGACACATTCAAAATTTGTTGACTGCGGGATGGGGCCCCTGGTCAGAGGGATGGAATCTCTATAGACCACTGCGACCCCGCCTCCCCGCCCTCCGGATCTCGGCTGGTGCTGCACGGAAAAACCTGGTGGGCAAAGCTGGGTCAAATTCACGCCTCCCGCTTCGTCCAACCAGGTCTCCGTGATGCACGCCAGATCTGCCCGCTCATCCAGGATTAAGTCTTGGATGAAAGTTGTTTTTCCATTGACAGATCTGGCGTTCAACAGCACCACCTTCAATCCAGAGGGACCGCCATCCTGGTTACACCAGTTTACCATATCAGGAGACCGGTTTGGAATTACTAATGTTGTTACACGATCCCTAGGCCGAATTAATGGTCTCCTTTTCCCGCATCTCCCCTTCCCCACCACCACTTCTATGGGGGCCCCTCGGCTGGCGCAACACCCCCCCTCCTCCATGCCGCATTCCATATCCAGAATCTCAATATGTATTTCATTGTTGGCAATTTGCTTTGTTGGGATCTTCTGTTTGTCGTGGGAGTTCTGTGTGTCATATTTGGTTCAATTCCATCATCGGTGGAGTTCAGAATGCTCTTTGATTGTGGGTGAACTATACATCCCAGTAACTACAACTCACATATGTCAAGGTCTATTTTCTCCCAAGAGCGGCTCAAGAGTGCCCTGGGGCAAAATCAACTATACTGCAAATGCCTACTTTACGTAATGGGTTGAGCCACCCCTGAGGAAGGAAGACAAGAAGGAGGAGGAAGAGAAGAAGGGAACAGAAAATAGAACCAAGAGGAAGAGCAGAAGGTGGTGACCCACTTTCATGCCTTCAATTACTCCCAGACTCTGAAAATAAAATATTGACACATTCCTAGGACTCATCACTTCCAAATGCCACGATGGATTTAAAAAGGAACAAATTGTTTCTATAAATGAAAGGTTTTTTTTGGAGGAACTTGAATTTCTTCTTGTTGGAGAGAGGAGGCCACCTTCTTGGATTGACATCTTTATTGTGAGCTTGAGCATGAGAGCGAAGCTGAGTTCTGGAATCTCGCAAGACCTGAGGCAAACTTCTCCTTCTTCCTCTCCCTTGTGTTTTGTGTACATTTAAATGAGCTTTCAATGGCTTTGATAGCTAGGTATTAGCTAGGTATTCGGCTATGTAATTATACTGCAATTAAATTTAATAGCTTTGCTAACAGCTCAATAGTAGAAGAGTTTTATCTAGGATGTGGGTTTTTGTGTGGTCTTGTGGGTTGTTTTGTGGGCTTATTAACCTTTGAATATTCCGTCCATATATTTTTGTTTTATATACATTTTTTTGTTTTACACACAAAACCATAATCACCGAAAAGGAAGAGTCATTACTTACCATTATAAAATGCAAAATATGCATTTTCCTTTTCCTACATAAGCACTTTTGACTAGTAGCATGCTACCATTAAGGTTGAACATTTCTCGACGCCGCGTGTTTTTGGAATTTCAATCTGGTAGGTTTGATCTGGTTATTTTCTGTTACCCAAGCAACCCAGATGTAAAATGGAAGTGCTTGTGACCTGTCACACGACTCTAAAATTAAAACAATTACAGCGATGCCATAAAAGAACTGAAGCTATCTCACATCATATTAATTGCCCTCTCGTTATTAAAAATGAATTAATTAGAAAATGTTATCATAGTACTTTGCTTTCAATGTTGGGCTAAGATTCTGAGACTTTGTTGTTCTTTGTTGTTGTTGTTGTTGTTGTTAATTTGTTCAGTCGCTTCCAATTCTTCGTGGCCTCCTGGACCAGCCCACGCCAGAGCTCCCTGTTGGCCGTTACCACCCCCAGCTCCTTCAGGGCCAAACCGGTCACTTCAAGGATACCATTCATCCATCTTGTTCTGGTACAGCTGTAGAATCATAGAATCATAGAATCAAAGAGTTGGAAGAGACCTCATGGGCCATCCAGTCCAACCCCCTG